CTGCAATTAAGGCCCTAGGTGGCATTAAGCAGTGAAACAAAGTAATTTCATAAAGTCTAAAATGGCATTTCATTTAGGTAACTTTGTTTTTTTTTTAAAAAGAGCTTTATGAATCAACAGCTGTTAAGCTGCAAAATATGGAGAAAAGCACCTTTATTCTGTTTTATAAAAATGCAGAAAGATCTGTATTAAAAACATTTGTGTCTATATCCCTTGGGAAACTACTTCCAATATTGGGATTCAGTTCTCATACAGTAATTCCAAGCCAGCATCACCAGTGAAACTATGGAAGTGGAAGCCCAATTTATAGTAGCAGCATAACCTGTGTTTTATTGATTGTTGTGAAAACAGTTCATATTCATTGAGTAACAGAGACAGTAAATATATTTTGCTATTTTAAAATAGCAAAATAGCCTGGAATTCATTTTAAAATATTGGCTGCTCAAGTAGCTACTACCGCAGAGCGATAACTAGGCAATGCTTAAAAGTTTCTTAAATGAAAAATTAGTGGGATTAACAGCTCGATGGTTATATTAATAACTCTCTAGACAACAACTATCAACTTCACATGTGCAAAGCTGATGATAACATTACTTTAAGGAACATATAGGAAGGTAAGAATCCAACTTACTGTCCAAGGCACTTCTACCTACCAAATGATGTGTAAATTGGCAAAAATATGCCACTATTTCACTTAACTCCTATCGTTTCTACCATTCCTACCTTCAGCAAATGAATCATGATTTTCATGACTCCTTTTTTTCTGCAGGGGACTCACAAAACTCTCCACAGGCAGCCCTGATCTTTCTTTCTGTTTCATCCTACATGTTGAGCCTGATCAGAAAGACCTTTAATTTTTAATGGGTATCAGTTATGGAGTTCCTTGCCTAACCCATGTTTTTGGCAATGAGCCTTGAAACAGTATTCGGCGTGGAAGTACTCTCTTTGTCACCCCAGGGTTAAAATTCTTTCCCATCGTCAGTAGTAAAATCTTTCACCTTGCATCCCTCACGTTCATAAGGAACGGCTTCTGATGACCTCAGTGAAGCCTTTTTCTCTGTTGCTGTGCACACTTCAAAAATGATTTGGACAAAATGTTTTCAACCTTGTGTAACCACAGCTCCTTCCTATTATTTATTAAAGGATCTACATTTTTAGCTCATTCATTGATTCATTCATTGATTCATTCATTCATTTTATATAGCCAGCCATCTCAAATACAGGTCCTCCTCGACTTACACCTAAAATTGAGCCCAAAATTTCTGCTGTTAAGTGAGACAGCTGTTAAGTGAGTTTTGCCCCCATTTTATGCTCTCTCTTGCCACTGTTGTTAAGTGAATCACTGCAGTTGTTAAGTTAGTAACCCGGTTGTTAAGTGAATCTGGCTTCCCCATTGACTGTTCAGAAGGTTGCCAAAGATTATCACAGGACCCTGGGACACTGCAACCGTCATAAATATGAACCAGTTGCCAAGGACCAGAATTTTGACCAGGTGACCTGCAGATCAGGAGATGCTGCAATGGTCGTAAGTGTGAAAAACAGCTATAAGTCACTTTTTTCAGTGCCATTGTAACTTTGAACAGTCACTAAACTAATGGTTGTAAATCAAGGACTACTTTTGTACATGGGCAGCTTACAATAATCTTTAAAAAAATCATTAAAAAAACAACCATTAACACAACAAGGAAAAAGCCTCCATCATACACTTTGGGGCCAAGATTGGGCACATCAGGTTTCTTCGTGATCCTGAAAAATGTCTTTAAAAGTTACATTAAAAGCACCAAGCCAATTAAACATGTACAGCATTACACTGCATAGAGTACTGTTTGACAGTGGTAGCTCCAACGATGCATTCAAAAATAAATCCTATTTAAATCAGTGGGATTTTATTATTAAGCATTTAGTAATTAAATACTTTGGTAATTAATTTAGTATTAAGTGCAAAAGGCACCATAGGCAGAGAAGCATGTACAATTGATAGACCATTAACTACCAATTTTATCATTCTACCATGATAAGCCTAAAGCACAATGGGATACGACATCCATTTATAATTTGAATAGTAATCAGTGGAGCTGAATCCCAATTAAGTGGGCATCAGGTTGCAAACTCAGCACTACTTTTTTTTAATTAATTAATTAATTTTACAGGGCTTAGAGGCTGCTCCAGTCACCTCTGAGCAGTGTACAATTCTACCTCTGTAACTTGGATTCTGAGAAAATAAACTACAATATTAAAAAAAACCTCATAACACTACAATATTAGACTGCGACATTTCCTCTTGCTCTCGTTTCTAGTGCATTGGTGATCGACATCACCTAACCATTACATCACCACATCTACCCTAACAACTTTTGTTTCATCCATCGATTGCCTTTTCAAAACATTTATACCATGGAGCATTGCATCATGTCATGGTAGTTATTTCCATTTAGTTTCATTATTATGTAATGGCAATATGATTATCATTTCTCTACTTACGAGCATTTTTATTTTATTTTGGAGCCATGGTGGTGCAGTGGTTAGAATGCAGCCCTGCAGGCTAACTCACTGCTCACTGCCAGGAGCTCGATCCTGACCAGCTCAAGGTTGACTCAGCCTTCCATCCTTCCGAGGTCAGTAAAATGAGGAGCCAGATTGTTGGGGGGCAATATGATGACTCTGTAAATTGCTTAGACAGGGCTGTAAAGCACCGTGAAGCGGTATATAAGTCTAAGTGCTATTGCTATTTATCTCAGGTATCATCTGAAATGGCTCTTAAAGCATAGAGTTTAGACATCACAAACATCTCCTTGGTATATGTGAGGAGATGCAATTGCAAGAGAGCCAGTTGGACTGGTGGTTAAGGCAACCGGCTAGCAACTAGGAGACCATGAGTTCTAGTCCCGCCTTAGCCATGACAGCTAGCTGGGGGATTTGGGGCCAATCACTCTCTCTCAGCACAACCTACTACACAGGGTTGCTGTTGTGGGGAGAATAGGAGGAGGGAGGAAGGTGTGTTGGCTATGTGTGCTGCCTTGAGTTATTTGTAGACTGGGATATAAATAAAAAAATACACAATAAATGTTCAAATAAATAAATAATCAATGTTCTCATAAGCCTGTCATCTAGATCTCTGTTTAAATCTGTCCCTGGCTCGTTGGGGAACTTTTTGGTCTAGAGAGAAAAGTTAGAGTAAGAGTTTGTTCTTACAGGTGATTAGGCAGCTGCAGGGTGAAGGAGGCTGCTAATTATCACAACGGCAGAGACAATCCCTCTTGGGGGCTTCACCTCTCTGATCTCCAGCGGGAGGCTGCGAAATTCTTCCCAGTCTGTCCCCTGCAGAAACGACAGAGTCTTTGGTCTCAACTAACAGAGCTAGAGGGGAGTTGCAAAGACATGCAAGCTGTTCTCCAGAGAGTTCCTCTCTTTGATCAACTCTTTGAAATTAATGTGCGTTGTTGTTTCCAAAAGATGTTTGATGGGCTGCAAGGTCGGTAACCCAACCCCCCCCTTCTATTCCCCCTTAGTATTAGTCCCCCTCCTAAATTTCAGTTTTGCTAAATTTCAGTTTTCATTCATCCCAAATTTCCCACTATTCAGTTTAAGAGCCAGTTCGATCTAGTGATTAAAGGCAACAGGCTAGAGAGCAGGAGACTATTAGGCATGAAAGCCGGACGAAACAATATTTTGAGTCTATCTATCCATCTTATCTATCTATCTATCTATCTATCTATCTATCTATCTATCTATCTATCTATCTATCTATCTATCTATCTATCTATCTATCTATCTACCTACCTACCTACCTACCTACCTACCTACCTACCTGATCCCTCCCGACAAGGTTATTATTGTGGGGAAAAAGAGAAGGAAGGAGTATTGTATATATTCACTATCTTCAGTTACTTGTATAAAGGAATAAAGGCGAGATAAAAAAAAAAATCTAATAAGCGGGGGATCCCGAGGGAAAGAAAGAGGCGTCCCCTTACCTTCCCCGTTTTGGACAGGATTTCAGGCTCTGCTCCCTGCTCCTCTCCCCATAAGCCTCCTGGTTGGGATACCCATCCTTTCTTCGCCTTCTCCTCGGATTTCTTTGCTAAGTCGTTCCAGGCTAAGCAAGAAGGGGAAGAGTCAAGGCAAGAACGACCACCGCCACGCCACGCCACGCCACGCCACGGCCAGGTGGGACGGGACGGGGCGGGGCGGGGCGGGGCGGGAGCAGGTGAGGTAAGGGCAAACGCCTCTGGCGGGTGGGGGCTTCATTTTCGCCAATAGTCATGTGCGGCGGCCGCGCGCGGAGAAAAGGGAGGAAAAAGAGGAGGAGGCAGCACTGAGCTTGCGCAGTCAGGGGTGGGCCGTTCTGCTTGTTGCTGCTGCTACTGCTGCTGCTGCTGCACCGACCGAGCGCTGCCGGTGCCGCTGCAGTTGGTGACTCGCTTCTCAGCACCTTGGAGAGCTGCTCGCGCGCTGCGGCTTGATTCCTTTTTTGCAAGGAATCGCCGTAAGGAGGAAAGGAGCCAGAGGGAAGGATAAGGCGCGCCCGAGCCCCTTCGGTCTCCCGTATCCCCACAGAGAGAGAGAGAGAAAGAGAGAGAGAGAGAGTGAGTGAGTGAGAAAGAGGGAAAGAGAGAGCTGGAGGGACCGAACCGGCCTCCCTGGGCGAGGAGTAAGCTGGCAGGCGGCAGCCTTTGAGCTCGCTCTCCTGCTCTCCCTAGCAGCGGAGCCCGCCTGGGGAGGCAAGAGTTAAAGCCATCAACCCACGTAAGCTCGGGAAGACGGCGGCGGTGCGTTCTCCGCCGTCCGCTGCCTCCGCCGCTCTTCGCGAAGGCTCCTTTTCCCCCACCCACCCCGATCGGCTGGCGATCCTCCCGCTCCTTGAGCTGCGATTGCGAAAGCAGGCAGGAGGAGCCCGGCAGGCGTTGAAGGAAGGGCGCCAGAGCCATCCGTCCAAGGCTTTGTGCCGCTGCCAGTCGTGCCGTTCGCCCCGCCGAGTGCGGGCCACCTAGTCTGCGGCCAACATGCTGGACCCGTCGTCCAGTGAAGAAGAATCCGATGAGATCGTGGAAGAGGAGAGCAGTAAGGAAGTGCTGGCCCCAGCAGCCTCGGGGGCTCGGCTCTCTCCCAGCCGGACCAGTGAGAGCTCTGGGGGCGGCGGTGGCGGGAGCAGCGGCGGGCTGCAGCCCAGCAGCCGGAGCGGGAGCAGCGTCCGGCCTTCCAGCCCGAGCCCCTCCGTGGTGAGCGAGAAGGAGAAGGAAGAACTGGAAAGGCTGCAGAAGGAGGAAGAGGAGAGGAAGAAGAAGCTGCAGCTTTACGTCTTCGTCATGAGGTGCATCGCCTACCCCTTCAATGCCAAGCAGCCCACCGATATGGCCCGGAGGCAACAAAAGGTAAAGTCTTGCTAAAGAGAACAATAGAGGTAGGCAGGTCGGCGAGGAAGCCGGACCTGCCCAGAGAAATATCTGGGGAGGGTCCGAGGCACCTGGGTATGGAGAAACACTACCTGGCACATGTCAGAATCCAGAGTCAGGACGAGGAGTGGGTTGATCTTGCTGCCAAAAGTTTCCCCAGATGGCTGTGTCCAGGGCCATTTCCTTTGCAAGTTTTCCTGCGGGTTGAGGGGCAGTGCTGGAGGGGGCTTGGCAACCAGAGAGTTTATGCAGAGCTGTGAGATCATCTTTCTTTACAAGATTCTCTGGAGGAAGGCTGTTAGCAGTCCCCAAACCTCAAGGGGAAAAGCAACTTGTATTTGTTGAGTGTGTGTGAGACAGGAGGGAAGGAGAGAGAGAGAGAGAGAGAGAGAGACAGAGAGAGAGAGAGAGAGAGAGAGAGAGAGAGAGAGACAGAGAGAGAGAGAGAGAGAGAGAGAGAGATTGCAGTTGGTATGGAACAGTAAATGGTGCCTCTCCAAGTTAAAAATGCACCCGGCACCTCTGTGAGATCTCTCTCCTTGGGTGTTAAAAACACCTCATACATTTGCTGGGACTCCAAGTCTGTCCCCTAGGTAGTAGCTGTTCTCTTGTAAAAATCAAGGTCTGAAAGCAGCTCTCCTGGTTCAGGTCCATTGGCCTGTCCACGGAGATGGAACCTGAGCAGAGGCTGGGTGGCGTCTGCAGCAGGAGAATGCAGCAGGAGCCGAGGAAGCTGGAAGGACATCAGGGGGACACACAAGGCCTCGCTTCCATGGAGTAGTAGGTAGTACTTCTGGGAGAGGCGGAGAGTAAGCAGGAACCCCGAGAGTTGGGGAGGAGTGTAAAACAAATCCTCAGCAGGACAAAGAAGTCCAAGCTTTTACTGCATCAGCAGCAATCATGTCAACGAGAGGTCAGATGACCTATTGCCTTTCTTGGCTGCTTTTCTCCTTGTGGCCTTACATAACTGCAGCTAATGCTAAGAGGGAGCTGGCATTTTGCTCTAATCTCCATATGCCAAAGGAGAGGAAAAGAAGTGAGTTAGAGAGAGAGAGAGAGAGAGAGAGAGAGAGAGAGAGAGAGAGAGAGAGAGAGAGAGAGATGTATGTCTTGAGCTTTGAGACTTGTCCTTTGTCCTCTGCCTTGCCCAAGAGTTCCCCATTTTTCTAAGGGTCTTCCTGGGAGAAGTGGCCAATCCATTGCTCTCCTGGAGATCTTCACAAAGGTTATGCTGATACACTCAGCTGCTGTGCTCATGCCATGGAGAGGACCAATTATTTCAGGAATATTTTTGTGTCCTTGCTGAAGATGCTCTGGCCATAACACTTCTTGCTGCAGTGTTTGATGTCTAACAATAGGTGAGCATGTTTCACATTAGTTCACTTCACTTCTTCTCGTCCCCTCCCTTTGAAAGCAGTCAGCACAGATGGGTCCTGCAAAATTCTATGACCAGAGACAGCGATGTCTGCAGAGTTAAGTCTTGTGATCTTGACGGCTCATAGTAGTAAACATACAGTACAAATACATTAGTTTAAAGAACAGCGAAGAGGCTGTAAAAACTAGAATAATCAAAAAAGGGGAATGTAAAGGTATTTAATGCTTCATTTGCTATCCATTCCTTCTGGGGGAAACATGTTTAAAATATCTGCATTTTATTCTATATTCAGTAGGACGTGTATTTTCTAGTGAACAGTTGGTATATTGAAAGTAAAAAGTGATTTCATATTAGCTTTTTGTTTGGTATGTCCTGGAAACAAAGCAGAGACCAATGGTGGAGAGGGGTTTTTTTTTCAGTTGAAATCAGACTTAAATAAAGAAAAAAAATAAGTGAGGTTTTCCCCAAGGTCAGCCAATGAATTTGTGGCATGTTTTTATCCTAGGATGTCTTATTGCCGAACTCAAAGTAACATTCCAATTCGTATCATGCTTATGGCCAATAAGTCTCACTGAGTGAAATGGGATTTTTGTTGGGAGGAAGTACGCATAAGATTATGACTTTTAGAAAGTCTGGAATATGAGGGAAACTTTCCACTGATATATTGCAAAGCCATATTTCAGAGTTTAGTGTTGCATTATGTAATTAGACCAAGGTATGAACTCTTCACATTAAGATGTTGGGATGATGATTGCTTACATTCCTTCAAATTTCTATGCACAATAAATGATAGAACATTATATTTAAGAAATGTAGCATATTCTTCTGTTTTCTGTCACAATCTTTGCCTTGTAAACAGCCCAAGACATGCAAACATTTGATTTATATTCTGGTATCATCATAAGTGTTTACAGGGCAGAAAGCTGAGTAATCCTACTGTTGGCCTGCAAAGTATGTTTGTGCTCATGTGTATTTCTGAATGAATAGCAGCTTCCTGTTAGGGCATACAGAAATGTTCTTCTTCCAATCATAATACTAACATGACTGATGGGATACACTGACAGGAAACTACTAAAAAAACAATGTCTTAAAATGGAGAAGACTAATTAAGAATTAAAGAGAGAGGCACTCAGGTGGAGTCTGACACAGGCAAAGTCACTAGTTTTGTGAAATGGGTGACTGTATAAGACGGACTGATTTAATTTGGCAACCAATGAAAAGGACACTTGTCAGTTTTACAGGAATGTTTGAGGAAATGAATTGGGTCCAGGAGAATCAGGAAGTTCTTTAGTCAACTATGGAACTTACATATCAATCATTAATTCAATCCAATTCACAGGGTGATAAGATGAAAAAAATGGCGACTCACAAGAGCACTACCTTGAGCATCCTGAGGAAAGCAGCATATATTAACATGACAAAAATACAATAATCAGTCACAGATTAATTTGGGTGAATGTTTTTGCCAAAGAAACCCGGGAAAACTAGTTATGGCTGCCTCTTCCCTTATTCCTATTTTCCAGTCAAACAAATTTCTGATGCATTTGGGGTTTCTTTGTAATTATTGTCATACCAAATACAAAAAGATCACATTTAGATTAAATTACTCTTTGAAAGTCCAATTCTGAGGAATGTATATTAGTTTTATTTCTGCCAATGACCTTTATATACCAAAATGACTCTAGGACATATTGACGAGGATGACATTCATTCAGCTCTGTCACGCCACAAAGCTATTATTAGTCCATTCAAGCATGAGGAAGTGGAAAAGCATATCAGGTCAACACAGTTTGAAGATTTTGATGTGGACAGAAAGTCAAATTCCTACATATGTTTCTTAGCTGTGTGTCAAGACTGATAATAACACCGATTAGATTTCTATATCCTTGCCTTGGAACTCCAGCATTATACAGTAATACGTGATGGCAAAGTTATATTTTACCCATTTGTATGTTCTTCATCTTGGGCAGGGAAAAATTAAAGGTGGAACATTCATTAGGTTTTGCAAAAATAATGTGGTGATGAACAAAATGGATCAGAAAATTTGGCCTCCATATTTTAGAAGACTTTGATTCAAAGTTCTGATAAGCCACGATCACTGACTGGTCTTGACTTGCAATCTGTAAAGTCAAATGTTACCTGTTATGCTGGGCTGTTCTAAAAAGGAGGAAGGGAAAATGCTGTATTCACTATGTACATTGTAACTGAACAATAGTCATGTCCAACAAAAGTCAATCAAGTTATGATGAAATGAGAACTAGCCTTGTCAGAAGCAAAGAGCCCAGAAAAAAGAGATTGGGGCAGGGTGGAGGAAGCAATGTTGAATGTACTGTATGTATCCTTGTACTGAATCAAAACAACAATAATACAATTATTATCCCAAAGTCCTGTCTAATCTAGCTAATAGGGGGTTTTCAAATATTTTTCCCTTCAGATCCAGCACTGGGATTCTTTTAACTAGAAAAATGAGAGATTGACTTTAGAACATTGCATGCATGATGCATATGTACATGACTTATTTATAAAAACATGGATAAGGGTTGCACTTTGAATTTGATTCCAAAATTCCTTTGGAGTGCAAAAGAGCAAAAATAGAGCAATCTATCTGTACTCCTTTAAAATACCCACATTTTTCCTTGGGATCAAATGACAGAAGTCAGCCAGCCAACTGTGGGAAAAGATACAGCTGTTTTAATAAGTTGCAGGCAGATACTATGTTCATGCATTTACGAGGCTATTTTTAAATCCAAAGCAATAGCACAGCTCTAAAAGAGATGCTAATGTGTTAATTTCTGTTTTAAGACAGATGATCTTCCTTACTGACAAATTAAAAAGCGAAATAAGTTTACTTTGTGTTTTTCCTATGGTGTTCCCCGTGTTACATTTCTTTTATACCAATCAATCGAAGTTTGGACAAGCTGAATGGCATTTTTTAGATATTTTAATAGGGATTGTGATGAGAGCTCATGTGTTGTTTCAAACAGATTGATTTTAGAAATATATTTGCTACAGTAAAATGACTCATTTGTTCCAGATCCACTTGGAACTGTTGACAGAGATTTTAGTATTCTGAGAATACTAAATCTTGGCTCTGTTTTATTCAGGGTTTTTTTTTCTCCTACACATTGCTTTCTTCTCTTCCCCACCCAAATTAAACAGTTTTTCCCAAGGAAGGCAGCTTTTGACACATGAGCACACAATTGCTAAGCAGCAGTTACACTGTTGTGCTTATTGATTAGGGACATGCCACTGAATAGTACAATTTAAGTTCTTGTCTCCTTGAGGCAGACAAGGATTACAGTCCTTTGAATCAGTTGCAGGCTTCTTAATTTATCATGCATTTACTAAATTCATGTTCTAACTATCCCAATAAGTAGCACTCTGTATTGCTCACAGCCAAACAGTGCTGATAAAAATACATGTTAATGAAATACAGGAGAAAATAAATTTAAAGAAGACATTCACACCTATTTAAAAGCTGTTTGCTTTTTTTAAAAAAAACACATTTTAAAAGCCAATAGCTTGTTGGAATAAAGCAGTTTCTTCCTTCAGGCAAAAGAAAAACAAAAAGAAAGGGAAGGAAATTGCAGGATTAGAGAGTAACCACCA